GGTGCTCGGTAGGTACTTTTTTGAACACATGAGTGAATGGATGGACTTGCAGTGGCTTTCAAACCACTTAGTTTGGTATTACTGGGCCCCACTAGTGGTAGATTAAAAAAAAGATGCTTTGTGACATAATGGTTTTTCCAGAAATAAATATTACAATTCCCTTAATGCCCTTAGAAGGGGAGTGCGCTAACCTCCATGACCCAATTTGTTGTCATCCCCATGGGAAATTCATATTCTAAACATCATTTTCCCTCTCATCAAGACAACACTTAGAATATATTGCTTACACAATTTGGTGAGAGCTAAGTAAAAGTCATTGCCTACTTTTAGGTAGTTGTAGTTTTAATTTAGTAATTTTATATGCTTAAATATTTATTGAGATAATTTTCATATTAATGTGGTTGTTTTCTAGTTTTTAACTATAAGTTATTACTGATATTCAATATAATTTTGAGGAAAATCTATAATGACTGTCTCTGTGGAATCAATTTAATACTTATGTCCCCTTTCTAGGTCACCTGTAATGGCTGGAGGAATTTTTGCTATATACAGGCATTATTTCAATGAAATTGGACAGTACGACAAGGGCATGGATCTTTGGGGAGGAGAAAATTTGGAACTTTCACTAAGGGTAGGAGAAAATTTGAAAGTTTCATTAAGGGTAATCCTGACTTCATTTTTTAAATAGTTACCTTTGGATGTAGAGAGTAAAATCTAAGTTGAAGTTACATAGAATGCTGTGGTAATTATGCCCAATTTCCTCCATGCATGTCTGGTTCCATTCCAGTGTGACATGCAATCAATAATTTACAGGGCTCCTTGCAAAAATTGAAAACATTTAGTAAAACATCAGATTTTTCTACCATATGTTTTTTATTTCTAATGTATGGTATGTGGAATTAATATCATATTTTTAACCTATCTATGGATTTTTTTTTATTGTCTTGGTGGTTGTGGGATTTTTTTCCCCAGTCTTTTTCTGTTTGGGATTTTATTTTATCTCCATTTTCCATCCTTCTTCTGGCTGGTTATTTGCTCATTTTTAAAGTTCTTTTAAGCACAGACTTCTCTCATAATGTTTCAGATAATTTATTATGCATATAGAAATATCTAGAGCAATATATTAATAGTTTCCTCCAAGCCCCTATTTGGCAGTATGTCGTAAGTTTGTTGTTTTGTTGCTTTGTGTTCCATTGTGATCTAGGTATTACTTTATAACACCCATGCCTTTGGCACAATTTATTCTGTTTGGTTGATTATTCCTCATTTAATTGCATTGCTCTTTGAGAATATAGCTTAAGGGCTTTACCCACCTTGGCACTTAATAACTTAATAAGCACTGTGTACCAGAAAAGAATCAATGTTGTGAATGATACATGCAGATCTGAAAAGTAAGTGTATTCCTTTTTCTGGATCTACATTCTCTACAGATAGCAAGTGACAACTAACATTATTCAAATGTATTAATTATCCCTGCTCCAATATTTTCAACTGCTCCATTACTAATAACCCTTTGTATCTTTTAAGTATGCTTGGCTGTCTTTTTATAAACAAATATGTAAATTAATAGATAGCTAAAGCACCCCCTTGACACTGACAGCTGTCGCTAGCCACGCCAAGTAACCTTGTCTTTCCTGAGAAAAGAATAATCTTTAGCCTAGCTCACAGCAACCTCAAACTCCTGGGCTCAAGCAATCCTACTGCCTCAGCCTCCCGAGTAGCTGGGACTACAGGCACGTGCCACCACGCCCGGCTAATTTTTTCTATATATATATATTTTTAGTTGTCCAGATCATTTCTTTCTATTTTTTGTAGAGACGGGGTCTCGC